AGGCTCCAGCCCCGAACTCCCCCAAAGTGAAACTAGGAAATCGCCCGTGAGCCAGAAGTCGCCAGCGAGATTTGCCGGCAGCGCTTGTTTCCATTGCGCGTGCTGGCACGCAAACACGTTAAACTCGAAAGCGCGAAGTGCAAACATCAGAGACGCGCAGCTCAGCGCCGTCACTTTTTAACGATGGGTTATAAGCCGGCCGCTCAGCTGCAAGGTCTTTACACAGGCGTGGTCAAGCCGCGGGCCCGAGCCCAAGCCAGCAGCTCGCACCAATAATCCGGCACGTGCGCTTGGGGACTCACCATTCCCGCAGCCTTCATCGCACGCGGTATGATGCGCATCCACAAGTTGCAAGGCACTGCGTTGCCGAGCATGTGCCCAAACTTGCCTCTTGTTACCTTGGCGCGGGAGGCGCGGTAAAATGACACTGGGATCCCCATGCATCGGAGAATGTCTTGTCTGGACATCGCGCGCTCCAGCCCAGTGATGTAGTAGCCGTTCGTGTTGCTGCATCGCGCCGCTGTCAAGCAAGGAGCGCAGCCCAGCCTCGACTGCGCAAACTGCATAGAGCAGCCGATGTCCACCACCAGGAACTCCTTGGAATCCGCTTTGCCCATCAGCTGCTGATGCTCTTCTGCATGCTGCACCAGTTTCCTGCAGCAAGCGTTTTTTCCGTTGGCACAAGTCCGGGGGAGTTTCTTCGCCGCTGGGGTAAGCAAATCCCAAACACGTGCTAAATAAAGTTAGTGCGTCAGTTGCTTCTCAGTAAGGTTCGGAAACTCGCGGCGGCCCTCTGCCACCATAGATAGAGACAGGTGGTGGTTGAACTCTTCTGGTGGCTGCCACACGCCTGGACGCAGTTTGTCGTTGCGGACGAGGATCAAGATCACACGTGGGCGACTCTGAGGCAAGCCGTGCTGGTTGCACTGGTAGAGGCATTTGTCCTGCAAACGCTAGCGGGTTAGTCAGCGCTCTTCCTTGAAAGGCGCAAACCTCGAGTCTGATAAACCAGACCTCAAATGAAAGGTGACATTCAATTGGTCCTTGTTCACTGCGCAGTAGCCGATGTCTTCCGCAGCGCGCACAAAGCGCTGGAAGGACTTCTTGTGCTTCGTGAGCAACGTAGCCACGTTCTCAACGAAAGCCAGTGACGGGCGATGTTGCCGCAAGACCTTGAGCGGGTGGAACAACAGGACGCCACGGGCGTCAGCTTCGCCGTCCCCACTGCCTAACACGGAGTAGGACTGACAAGGGGGAGTGGCAAAATAGATATCGGGGGGCTCCTGCTGCTTCAAGTCCATGCTCTTTGCGTCGCCCAGCGCCTGGCCATGGAAGTGCTCTCGCAGCATCCGTTGGCAGGAAGCGTCGTTGTCCGACAGCCACACGTGGCGGAAGGGAACGCCCAGCATCTGTAGTGACAAGCTGGACGTGGCAACGCCTGCAAAATCCACCGCCACCTTCCACGAGCGAGCGTACTTGAAGGCCCGCAGGTCAGGAGGAGGCCCTGCTTCTGGAGGCACCTTGTAGCCCATTACTGCTCCTTTGTAGCAGAAGGGCTTGTCCCTTTGCGCCACTTTGCTGGAAAGCGCAGGCTGGTCCGACTGTTCAGCACGCTGAGGTGGTGGCTTTGCCGCACTGGGCGCCGCCTGATCAGCCTTTCTTTCCCGCCTTGTCGACATCTCCTCCTGAGCCTTGTTCTTCAGTCTCTGGCGCCCTGCGCCCTGCAACACCTTGCCCTTGCTTTCTCGGCCGCCTTTGACCTGAGCCTTGCCCTTGGTCTTCCTGTCCGCCGCGCCCCGAAGAAGCTTGCTCTTCTTCTCGCGGCCCTCCTTGTCCGGTGCCTTGCCCTTGGCCTTTGCCTGCAGAGCGCCTGGCAGCGTGTCCGCAAGCTTCGCGCTCGCGATCCGCGAGTTCTTGCCTTGTGGCCCCAACGCTGTCAAGCCCGCGTCAGCAGCTGGCCTCTTCCCACGGCTTGGCGCGGGCTGTGTGCTCAGCCCGGCCTCGAGGAGCTCCAGCGCCTCCATCTGGGACAGGCCAGACTAACCAAGCAGCTGCCTAGCCTACAGCCAATGCTCTGCAGCGGCGTGCTTGCAAGGGAGCGGCTGAAGAAGGAGAAGCCGAAGGTGCAAGATCAAAATACATCACTAGTTTGTTAGACTGATCACGCGCTAGAAACAAAAGATGCCATGGCCAGGGCAACACTTGCAACAACTGGAGTCGTCGAGGTGAAGCCAGATGACAGCACCCTTGTTTCGTGCAGGCCCTGATGCCGTCGCATCTACAAAGAGCGGCCCTGCCACTCGACAAAGGGCAAAGCCAAAAACAAAGCACAAGTGCCCACTCGAAGGACAAAACGACAAAGGAGAGCCCTCAGTTTGCATATCGAGGACCGAAGCAAAAGCAAACATAAGTTGTCGCAACGTTTACATGATTGTTATTCTCTTTCGTGGCCTCAGGGTTGGCAGGTTTGCCTTGCCTTTGCCTATTTTTGCTCTCTGGCAATGCCGAACGGACATGACAAAAGGTGCTAGCAGGACATGCCACAAACGCAGCCGCAGCCGACCACGATGCAAGTACAAAAGACAAAGCACAAGTGCCGGGAGCGGCGCAAAGATCTTTTTCCCAAAAGGGAGCGGGCAGTGTCTTGCCTAGATCTCCGGGTCGAATTGCGGGTCACGGCCAGGTCGTGGATGTCCTGACAGGGCAGGGTTCGCATTTGGCTTGCAACAAATTGGGGCGGTCCTCCGTGATGCACTTTGGCATGTTTGCTCGGCTGCGTGTCTTCTCCTCCTACCAGTGCACATGGTCAAGTTTAAGCGGCGGCACTTGGTTATGCGCCTGATGGGCGCTTGTGCGGGCGCGGCTCAGATCCTGGCCGCGGCGCACCCGAAAGCAAGCGCGTTAGCAGAGCACCAGGGCATGATGCGGGGCACGGAGTGTGACGTGTATTGTGTTTCTGGGAAAGCGGGCCTTGACCATGCTCGCCTGTATTGGTGCCAGCGCCTGCCGCGAATGTCACACAGACACTGGCATGGATTGCAACCGAAAAGCCTGGTGCTTCGCGGGGCTCTGCAGGGGCAGTATCGCCAGGAACTGAGTGGATACGTCCTGCCAGGGCGCTCGCATTCAGACTTCAACTCAAAAGAACAGCTCTCCTGTTCCTATGAAGTGCTCTGCGCCAGGAACTGCGGGAGCACGTCCTGCCAGGTCACTCTCAGAGAGGCCGCAACTGAAAAGTTTTGAGGTTCTCCTGTGTGGGTCTCTGCAGGAGTGCTTTTGGCAGGAAGCGTGGAAGGGTGTCCTGTTAGACCAATTTCAAGCAGAACTCGACTGAAAGAGTGGCCCTCCTCCGGCAGCCTCTGAGCCAGGAACTGTGGGAGCGCGTCCTGCTAGCGAGGGCCGTTTCAAACAGGCTTCGACTGAAAAGAGCGCTCCTTCTGTGTCGGGACCAGCCGCAGCAGACGTGGGTCCTTCCAGGGCCGGACAAGGATCGCCCAGCCATACTTGCCAGAAGCTGATGAAAAGCAGCAAGTGGCGCGGACTCAGAAAACACTCCGTCCAACAGAAGATGGCCGCGCAAAAGGCACAATGGGTTTCTGGAAAACACAACAATGACAAGTCACTGGCAGGCCCTTCCAAAATCGATTGTTTTGAGGCACGTCCTGGGAGCACCGCGTACCCGGCCGCAGCCAGCTGGCGGTACACCGCCTCTCGGCTCGCGACCATGTAGTCGACGGCACCTTGAGCGTGCGCCCTGCGCAGCATCAGTACAGACAAAGGACAAAAGATCTTAAGAACAAAGCGCAAACACCGCAGACTCCACAAAGGACAAAAAGCGCAATGCTGCCGCGCAGCTGTACGAAGCGCTATACATGTTCTGCAGCGCCCTCAGCAAGATCTGGCAGTGGGGGCATGGCTCCGCGGCACGCGGCGCTTGCCTTTCGGCAGGCCTTTCAGCGGGCTCCTCCGCAGCCCGGGACGCCACCTCACGGACATCATAGCCCATACTGCTCAGCTCGCTCCACGCAAGGTCCCGCTTCTCCTCCTGCTCGAACCACAGCAGCACCGCCCCGGGCTGCCCCGGTCGACGGCGCATGGAGAAGTGGCAGCCGGCTCCCTGGAGGCTCGCCGACCACCGCCCCCACGAGAGCCAGCTCCACACCCTCCCGCTGTGGATGCCGGCGGGCACCCCGCCAACCCACAAGCCATAGTCCATGGCTGCCGCCATGGGTCCTGGGTCTGCGCAGGTTGCTGTCGTGCTTGTGCTTGGTGCTGAGTTGGCCGCGTGCCTGCTGCTTGACCAGTTCTTTGCCCGTGTGCCCTCTGTTCCCTCGAGCCACAGGCAGAGACATGAGCAGACTTAGGGTTCAAGGACAAAGACAAAGGCAAGTGCAAAAAGTTGACAAGGGCAGATGCAAAAGAAACTCTGCCAGCACGCTGGCAAAAACAAACATAAAGACAAGGTGGAAAGCCCTGCAAGCATGGCAGCTGCAGCTGCGTAGTGACAAAGCACAAAGTGAAGACAAAGACAAGACACAACTGTGAATTACCGCTCGGACGGCTCCCCTTAAATCTGCCCGTGCGACGGTGCGTTCGCTGACTGTGGGTCTCAGTGCGGCGGGGGAAACACCTGGCTGCTTGCGATATGGGGCAATGAGTCTGTGTTGAGAAGGGTGCCCCAAAAGCGGGCGTCAATGCGGGGGGGGATGACCCCCCATGCGCTTGCGAGTTCCAGCCCAGCTACGGAACACTTTGATTGTGAGTTCGGGCTGAAGAACGTTCCTTGCTGCAAGAAAAAAACCGGTCAGCGCGGGGCGGGTTGACTCATCCTGTGTTAAGGGCAGGTTTCCCCACCCGGCTGCGAAGGCGGGCCAGGGTGGCCGGGGCTCGCGATTTAAGACGAGCCTGCTGCGACTGCGCTCGCTTTCCACCTTTTTGCTGCATTGCCTCATCCCCAGGCGCGACAACAGCAAGTTCGCTCTTGAACTTGGCTAGGAGGTTCAATATCCGCAAACACCCGTGCAACATCGCTGTGGATCTTGCTTTGCAATGAACTGGAAAAACTCCTTGGGAGTTTGGATGTGAGTGCTGAGCGTGGACCTTTGTCCCTTGGCACCACGTGCAACCAGCACTTCAAGAAGACCTTTCTTCTCTGACGGCCGTGTCACGGCGAGAACGGCGGGGCTCTGCTTCCTGGCGGCCGCTTCCACTTTCTGCTGCTCGAAGTCTTCTTGGCCATCCAGCATCTTCCAGCGCCTCGCCGTCTTCGCCATCTCCACGACCAGCTGGTGCAGCTGCGGGCTGTGCTTCTGAGCTGCCTGGGTCCAGTACACGCGGCGCCTTGTGTCCAAGGCCTTCTGCCAAGAAACGCACGGCCCTTGCATCTCCTGCAAGGTGTCCCAGGTCATGACGCTGCCTCCGCAAAGCACCGCTGCCGCCCAAGTTCTCTCCGACATGCTTTCCAAGGACTCTGCAAGAAACACGGTGGCCTGAGCCCTGCGGTCGGTGAGCTGGAAACCGCGCTCACTTGCCAGCCGCTGCAATGAGGGCATGCCCGGCGGCACGAACACAACTCTCCCTGTCAGGTCTGGCAATGCGCCTTGTAGAGCAGCCGCACGCTTGCTTGTCTGCCGCGCCCGCTGACGAGCATTGGCTTGTCGCCGGCGCTCTGCTTCAGGAGCTGCGTCTAGAACTTCATCTGGCACATCTCCGGGCAGCAGGGCTCCCAGCTCATGAGCCTCTTGGGCCAGTCGCACCTGCCAGGGCCGCAATGACATGGTTTGGCGCGCGCGCGCGCGCAACTTGCAAGAAATGGGACAAGAACACAGGCCTGCTTCTGCTGCTGGAAAGCAACTTCCTCTGCGTGCTTCTCTGTCCAGAAATCCCCCAACATGTCTGCCGGAAGCGGGTCGGTGGAAAGAGCTGCGCCAGCTGCTTTGCAACCTTCTGAAACAGCCTCCCTGCGGCGCCGCAAGAAGCCCGCCAGCGTGCGGCCTTTTCGAGGCCCCTGGCGCTGACCCTTGTGAAACCTAGGGCCAGTGGACTCCCTGGCTGGGCTGTGCCGCTGCATCCAAACCTCCTGCGCCTGCCCGCGGGCAAAGCAAACATAAAAGGAAAGACAAAAACAAAAGATAACAAAAGCCCAGGCCTTCTGGATGATGGCGTCTTCCTCTGCCGCCTGGTAATCCGTCAGGAGCTTCGCTTTGGCCACGTGCAGCGCCAGGGATTGGTGGTCAGCAGACTTTCCAAAAGACCACGCTTGCCGCGAGAAGCGTCTCTCAAGGCCACAGGTGCTGATTGCAAAGGCCAAGTAGCGCTGCAAGCATGCCTGCAGCGCAGCCACCGGCCTCCCCAACTTCTGCGCGTGCCACACGGCTTGCGCCCACGCTGGGCCAAAACCCGCCGAGGCTTCTGAGCATCTGCTGGCAAAGATCCTGCGCGCAGGCACTTGGGTGGCAAGCAGCTGACGAACAAGCTCGCCTGCGTCCAACTGGAAAGCTTTTGCCAGACGTAGGAAGTGCTTCTCTGCCTCGCTGCCTGGCGTAACACATGGAACGCCGCAGCAAGCTCCCAGTCCGGGAACACGGCGTGGAGCACGGAGTTCACCACCTTGTGCCAGGCCTGCATGCGGCGTAGACACCGCTCCTTGACTGCCTCGCCTGGCAACTGCGGGCCCCCAAACTCCCGCTGCGTGCCTGCAACTGCAAAGCTGTACCGCTGTCGCAGCACGTGGAGCGCCCACGCAGTGAAGCCGGATGAGCTGAAGACCCCGCCGTGCAAGAACAAGTAACTGATGCGCTTCTCAAAGTCTTGGACGCATGTGATGAGCTCCGCCGTGTTCATGCCAGCACCCGCGTCTGCCACCCGCAAGAGGTCCCCGACTTCCACAGCTGCGTCAGCTAGTAAAGCCAGCTGGAGGTAGCTCTCCGCCGACAGCGCTGCCAGGAACCGGCTGGCATCGTGAGAGACATCTTCTTGGCTTCGCTCTGCGCGGATGCGCAGAGCCACATGAATGAGAGGCTCAATGTACAGCACTAGCCGGCATAGCGGCTTTTCATGGCTCGCCATTCGATGCTTGGCAGCCTTGAGAGACCTCACGCGAGCATCTAAAGTGGCCCTGGCATATGGCTGGCACTCCTGGAACCACATTTTAAAAATCGGCGAGTTCTCGATGCGCTGAACCAAGGATGCCTTATCCCACACAAAAGACCGGAAGAGCTGGTCGAGGAAATCCGAGGCTTTGTAGGAGCGGGCAATCAGCCTCAGTTTTTGAAGCCAGGCGCGGGCTTGCAAAGGAAAAACTAAAAGGAACCAACTTGGACACTTTGTTAACTCTGGCCCGCAGCTTGTGCAGACCGTGCGCTTTGTCTCTTGCAATCCATCGCAGATTTGGCGTGTAGGGCTGCAAGTCCTGGAAGCTTGGTCGGTGGCCTTCGTTGGAAGCTGCCACCTCGTCTGGAGCGGCGTCTATGCAGACCAATTCCACTGCTTTCCGCAAAGCATTTTCTGATCCATGTTTCACCTGCTTGTCTAGGCTGGTGAGAGCAGCTCGCACGATCTCCTTGGTGCCTTGGAGGACGCCTGCAGCCCCACCCTGGTTGAAGGCGCAGTGCAGCACCCCCGACCGAGTAGACAGGTCGGAGGAAGCAGCTGTAAAGTCGCACTGGATCACCCGGTTTCTTTCATCACGGTGTAGAGCAATGACTACCCCTGGCTGGGTCAAAAACTCTTCGTCCTTCAGCCGCATGGCCTCGTAGAGGCACCACAGCATGTCAAGGGCCTTGGTCTTCGAGTTCTCCTGCTTCTGAGCTGAGCGTCCTTGGCGAATTGCTTTCCAGAGTTCCTGGAATTGCCTCGTTGTTGGCGCCCCAGGGAGCTCAGCATTTTTAGCGCCTAGGAGCTTGCGGACACACGCTTCATGCAGCTTTCCCTGCGCGTGGCGTCGGAAATTGCCCCACTTGACACTTGTCACCATCCCAGGCGTTGCCAGGGCTGACTTCCCCTTGGCATGCATGACACAAGCGCGGCAGACATAAGAGTCACCTTCCGCTGCCTCAAGCCAAGAGCGGCCTTGCCAGCCGCGCAGAAGCACTTCGTCACACCCAACACTCAAAGGTTTGGTGACCAATGGCAAAACCTGCCGCGCTTTCACCAAAGTCTTCGCCTGAGACGGCTTCACCACATCGCGCTTCACTGTGGCCTTCCGAGTCTCACATGCAAGGGGGCGGCCTTTCCCCATGGCTCGCTCCCTTGCCAGCGCAAGGCTATGGCCGGGAATGCTTGAACAAATGGGGACTTGCTCTGCTGCGACAGGTTTTGCCTTTCAAGAAAAGTAGTCGCTCGCGGCGCATCTTGACACGTTACGTTAATTTGCGTAGAAGGCGTGTAGCCAAGTGGCCTCCGTCAAAGCCCAAAGAGGCTGCGATGTGCTTCATGTCCAGCCCTTGGAGCTCGGAAATTGCAAAGAGAAAAAGTGAAAGCACAAAGGAGGCCGGCCGGCTTTTGTATCATCTCGGCTCACGGGCAGATGTCTACCTGCAGCTTCTTTGCAAAGCCTCTTGGTCTGACAAAAATCGGCTGAGAGGCTCGTGCCAACCAGCAGCAAGCGTTAAGCAAGCATTGCGTTCCAACTTCGGCCTGGACAGCAAACTTGACACAACAATGTCCTTTCCATGGCCCGTGGGGGAAAGGCCTTGCTGGGATAAATGCTGCTTTTGAATTTCAGACCCAGCGAGTTGAGAAGCTAAGCTCGGGCTAGGAGCTGTTGTGTGAGATCTAGGCGTTCACTCGGCGGAGTTGCTGTCAGGATCCGACTGGTCATCGTCAGGCACAGGGACGGGCGCAGGCGCCGGTTTCGGTTGGCCGTTGCGGCCGCCTCGCCCGCGCCCCCCTCGTCCACCACGCCCGCGCCCATGAGGTTGAGGAGCGGGCGCGCCTCCGCCTGCTGCGCCGGCCATAGCCTCAGCCAACTCCCGGTCATACAGCTCGCTTGTGCTGTCCTGCATCTCAGCAAAGGCCTGCGACTTTAGGTGGTCCAAAAGAAGCTCCTTGTGCGCGTCATTGAAGCAGACCCCCGTGTAAGGGGTGTGCATTTTCATGCACGCAAGCGCCCCCACACCCGACCCTGCAAAGCCGTCGACCAGGGCCTTGATGCAGAAGCCATGGCAGAGTTCTTTGTAGACCTGGTCGAAATTGGGCAAGGGCAACAGACAAAGCCAAAACCACAAAACAAGTCGGCGAAAGACGGCTTCTGCCGCCTGCTCGTGCCAGCTGTGGAAAAAAACCGGCTCTAGGTTCGTGTCCACGCGCTTGGCGCAGGAGCCGCGCCCAGCGTTCACAGCCAAGCCTGTGGCGCCCGGCAACTCTTCCACGGCACTCGCGTCCGCAGTGGCCTGGCAACGGCGCACGCCCATTAAAGCACAAAGAGGAAAGAAGCGACTGCGTCTCACAGCCTGGCACTGCTCTTCCACTTCCTCATCCACGCCCTCTGGCGCCGTGGTGCCGCCCACTGGGCGGCGAAATGGCCCAAACAGCTCTTTCTTCTTGCTGAAGGGCAGGGCCCAGCACTGTGGCCAAGGCTGGTACTGAATAGCGGACAAAAGGTTGCCTTCATTCGTTTGCGAGCCAAGCTTGTAGACCAAGCGGTCGCGTCTGGGAATCTCCGGCCTTTCTCCCCAGAAGATAGTGAGAACCTCCATGAGCTGCAAGTTCCCGCCGCGCACCTTCGTTGCTCGCCGGCGCTTAGCAAGCTGCTCGTGGCTGTACGCCAGGTACAGCAAGGTGCTCTTATTGTCGCGGATGACTTTGGACTCTTCGTCCAGGAACAAGCGCTTGAAGTCCGTATTGGTGAGTCCTGGAAGTCAAGAGAAACGGCTCCGAGTTTGAACAACAATGTGCTTTGAAACTCGTGACAGCAAATCACATCTTATGTCGGGCCGCCCATCTTGCCGGCATCTGCGACCATGACCAAAGAGCCAGGGAGAACGCTGCCACAGGAGCCCTTGGCCTTTGTGAAGGCCGCCACCAACTTCCGGAACGCATCTTCTGCGTAGGCAGGCGTGCGGATGTGTGGGCTTGTCACGGCCTCCCCGGAAAGCTTGCTATCCAGGAGGAGGGCGCAGTACTGCAGGCCCTGCGTTCCACTGACTTGCAGCGCAGGGGTGTTAGACAAGGCATCAGCCAGCTCGGTCTCAGACATCTCCATGGTGACAAGCTGCACGTGCGACGTCACCAGGCGGGAAGCCTTGGTCACGAAACGCTCCAGAACAGGAGCGTCTTGGCAGCCAGCTTGCGCCATTTGCAACCTCAGCGGAAGCGCTGGCGCAAAAGGCTTTCAACAACCAAACTCGCTACCAAGCTGCCGGGCACGGTCCTCCCAGGTCTCCTCGCCTCCTTCGTCGTCTTGACCCACAGAGCCGACAACAGCGTTGTCTGCGCGGCTTGGGGAGTCTTGAAGATTGGCACCAGTCTCCTGCTATGTGTAGTCGCGCCGTGTTTCTAAAACTTGCGTTACTGCAACGGCCCGTCAGTCCTGCTCCAAGGCTTTCTTCCACTCCTCTAGCCGCTTGCTGGGAGCGTCGTACTCCCAGTACTCCCGAACTGATTTCCGAGCTCGCAGGGCAACCTTTTGCAAGGGGTCTGTCTCCTTGCTGTAGATTGTGTCCTTGACACAGTGCAGCACTGGCAGAGCGCAGGGAAGCACATGCCCACCGAAAAGAAAACTTGAAAGACAAGGTTTGCTTGGAAGATAAAAGCACAAAGGCAAAGCGAAGCGCGAAGGGCTGCCCGTCCTCGAGGATGGACGCGATCAAGTGGCCAGAGCGTGGCCACGCCACTGTGTAAGAGATGTCGGCCTCGCCGCTGTAGGGCTTGCACTGCTCTCTGTAAGAGACGTGGCTGCTGAAAATCTGCTTGATCTTGGTCGCGACCTCTGGCTGCAAAGGGTGCATGGCCATGAGCCGCTGCAAGATGTCCTGCTGCAGCTCGCGCTTGTAGAGGTAGAGCTGCACCAGCCCCTTGCCACCAGCGCTCCGGCCACTCAAGCACTCAGCGGACAAGTTTTCCGAAACTTGCATTTGCCCGCTGCGAAGTCGGTCCTGGACGGTGGAAAGCACCCATAGTTGCTCTGCGGAGCTGCCGCGGCACACCTTTGCAAGCTCAGCCAAGCGGCTGACACCGTTCAGCGGATTGCGGTGGCCGAATTCCTCTTCGAGCTCCAACAAAATGGCCCGGCTTTCCTTGTGCGACAGCAGTGAGCGCCACAAGCGCACAGCCTCCACGATGAAGTTCTCCGTGATGCGCTCTCCACCAGCGGTGCAGCCGTAGTTTGCGTAAGTGTGAGCCAAGGTAGTGACCGCGCAAGTTTTGCCAGCACCTGGGGCAGGCAGCGCGTTCTGTTGCTGCAAGTAGGCAACCACCTCGAAGACCCGCTGGAGGGCCGTCCGCTGCACCGCCTGGAACCTGAACACAAGGGCAAGGCACAAAGAACCGCCCCGAAAGCGCGCCCAACTGGAAGCGCAGCGCAAGCAGATTCAGCAACTGCTCCCCAAACATAAATGCAAACGAGCGAGTTTAATGTTGCGCTAGGAAATGGCAAGCCGCGCCTTCGGGTCATCTCTTCGCGATGCTTGACAGTTAGCCAGTGCACAGCCTCACCGGAGGCAAGGACCACTCGAAAGGTTGTGCTCAAGAGGTACTTTCGCCACAGTGTCATGGTCTCTGGCGGCGTCTCAACATCTTGAGCATCGCGAGCAACTGCCAGGAGATACGCGTGAACGACCTCCTCTGGCGTGACTCGCTTGAACCAATCCACATGTTTCTGACCGTCTGGGAAGTGCTTGTCCGGGGCAGCCAGTGTGATGCAGTCTGGGAATTCGACCGGCTCTGCAAAGTCCCTGTCGGATATCTCCAGCAACTGTCTCTTGTTGGGCGGAACCCCGTGCAGCGCCAGCCAGCATGGGTTGCACCAGAAAAAGTTGCCTGCAAACTCGGCGGCGCCCTGGCTCATCATGGCATTCCGGTACTGCTGCACGTTGAACGGGTGCTTGTAGCCCACGTTCCCCCACTTGTCCCTCGCCCCAAACTCCACTGGCTCTGCAGTGAGGATGTCCTGCAGCACAGGGTGCTTGGCGATCTGCTGAACAGCTTGGTGGATCTCTGCAAGGTGCGCCGCAGCCTCTGGGAAATCGGCGCCGCGCTGTGTCTTGCCTACCTTCCCGGCAGGCTGTGCTACGCCCGCTTGCGCTCGCTTTCCCATGGCCTGGCGCCGCGTCTGCTACAACGCAGGTCTCGAATAGCAAAACGGGCTTGCGCGGCAGTACAGCTCAACACAAAGCACAAATACTAGCGCAAGCAGCAAAGTACAAGGCTGAAAGGACAAGTCGGTGGAACGCAGTCCGCCATCCAGGAGACAATGTCTAAACACCCAACTGCCTGCCTCTTATTATCTAAAGTCTTCTTCTATGTTCCAAAAGCACATACCCAGTGCATCCAGAAGCGCCGTTTCCCGCACTGCTAGCCGGCGATGAGCCATCCAGGTGCTTAAAGTGACACTGGATGACCCGTTTGATGAACAAATGACCCGTTTAGCCTCTAGCAGCGCCGCTTTCCGAGCGGCTGGCGCCAGCAGTGCAGAAAACGACACTTCCAGGGAGAAGCGCCGAAACGGCTCTAGCAGCGCTGAGCGAAAAAGGCTTGAGATGTGCTGTCGAATCGTTTGCTTCAGCCAAAGAAATCCCAACCAATATGACCAGGTTTAATCTAAGCTGGCCTTAACCAAGCTCCAGCCATCTGTCCGTACAGTGGCTTGTTGGTTTTCAAACGGGACCAAGCGCCGAAAACTGGCACTTCGGAAGCGCTTTTGCGCCAAGTGCCTGCCCACAAAGCTGCCCACGCAGCAAAAGCTAAGTCCAGGCAACTCA